CACTGAGACTCCTCATACTTCTGCTTCCACTCAGAAAGAACCTGCAGTGTAACAAAGGCCAACAATAAGTCTGTGTTTGCCAGATTGATTATTCCAGTTGACTTATTCCAATATTAGAAATAGTGCTCAAGGAAAGACAGCATTTATAACATTCACATTCATTCTTAACAAATGTGCTCAGAAGGGGGCAGCCTGTTGTGGATTTTTAAAACTACCACACGCTGCATGTGTGTTTATATTCTGCTTAAATAGCCCCTGTGGGTGCTGAGATTTTTTCTAGTGTAAGGCTTTAGAAGCCACCTTGCCTATTGATACTTTTGTCACAAACACTTCACCTTGTCAAAGTTTCTTTGTTTCTTGTCCAGAGCAGCGGCAGCAGCATTAGACCTCTCTACATCCACCATGAGATCTTCAATCTCATTCTGCAGCCTGTGTTTGGTCTTCTCCAGAGAGGAACATTTAGCATTCACTGCTTCAACAGCCTCCTCAGCCTCCTGCAGACGCTGAGCCAGCTTTTTCCTTAAGAAATCATCATTCAGAGCTGTTTAATTAAAATGCAGCTGTGTGGCGGATAACTAAACTGTGAATTCAACTGCTACAAGTGGCTGCTTGGTCATCCAACAGACAAACTTTTTGTTCGTCTTACATTTTAGTAGGAACATAATACAAACAAAAAGCTGATCTGATAGACGAACGGTAAAGTTTCTTTAGGATAATAAACCATCTATTTAAATTTCAGACTCTTACTTGGCCTCTTCTAGTTCTTCGGTCCTCTGGATGGCATCAGTTTCATACTTTGCCCTCCACTGAGCCACCTCAGTGTTGGCTTTGGACATGCCACGCTGTAGTTCAGCTTTAGCCTCCTGCTCCTCCTCATACTGCTCCCTGAGCAGGTCACAGTCATGGCGAGCAGACTGCACTGCATGGGCCAGAGCATTCTTTGCCTGTTAAAAGAAAGTTATATGAAGAGGTGACACTTTTTAGGAAATAACTGTCTGGTGCTGTCAGCCGGCACTGAAACTTTATTTCACCTTGGTCTCCTCTTCCAGTTGTCTCTTTAGATCCTCAATCTGCTGAGTGTAGGACATTTTCCCTCTTGTGAGTTGAGACACCAAGGACTCCTTATCCTCCAGCTGCCTCGAGAGCTCACCTAATGTTATGGTAAATGTAGATTGTTATTGTTCAGACCCAAAGAACACAAAAATCCTTGTCTGGTTTCAGAATGACAATTGAGTTTTCCAGGTTTAAACACTTTTATACAAAATTGAAGTGGATAGTGTTTTCTATCATACAAACCAACTACATATAGGTAATATACCATTTTCTGTTTGAAGTTTAGCTTTCTGCATGTTGAAGTCACTGATGCAGCGCTGAGCCTCTTCAAACTTTGTCTTGTACTCATTCATTTGATCTTCCAGAGTCCTGCATGCTTTCTCTAGATTAGTCTGAAATTCAACACAAATGTTCAATATGCATGTATTAT